TAAACTTTGTGGACAGAAATTGATTTACTATTGTAACCAACATAAAGAACCAACCATAACATATTAAACAAAAGTATAGTAATAGTAAGCCCATATATTAAACTTTCTGCCTAAAACTTGAGTTACGATTGTAACTAACATACATAACCAACCATAACACATGAAATAAAAATATACTAACTTGTTATTTCGAGAGTTAATTGGTTATGACCTAAGTGTCATTTGAAAAAATTAAATGTCAATTTTAATACCTAAACTTTTTGTTTTGAACTTTTTGATCCCTAAACTATTTTCAATACTTTTTTAGTTTTTTAATTTTAAAGATTACACTGTTTTTGTTATTCCATCACTTAAGTGATGATCTAACCCCAATTGTCGTTAACTCATTTGAAAATTTATTTTTTTTAATGACATATCTATTATAAATATGTTTTTATCTTAGATAAAATATGTGGCGTCCATGTTGATAATTTAATTTAAATGAAAAAATTAATAAATTAAAAAAATAAAAACTATCCACCAGTTAAATTTATTCATAAATTAAAATATTAAAACTTACAAAATATTAAAAATACTTCTAAAATCTTATTCTTTCTCCTCAAACTGCTTTTTCCTCACCAAAAACATTTATAAATAATATGAATCCACATAAGCTAATTTAATGATATGCCATTACTATATCAACAAAAAAAAATGTGTTATTTTGGATTGAGTTAACATCCATGCCATCACTTAATTGAAAGAAGACAAAAAAAAAAGTACAATTTGTAGAATTAAGAGATAAAAAAGGAGTTAAAAATAATTTAAGAACAAAAAAATCCTAAATTAAAAATTTGGAGACTAAAATTGACATTTAATAAAAAAAAAACAAAAACAAAAACAAGAAAAAAAAAAAAAACAAAAAACAAAAAACCAATTGTGAACCAGGGAAACTTTTCTTCCCATGATCTCAAGGAAGGAAGTTTAATTTCTAGGTTTGAGCCACACAAAATTTTGGCTTGGCTTCCCCAACAATTTCTAGAGACAAATTACCAAACACGCCTAAGGTTATACTTGGCGGAGTCTAAAGGCTTATTTAGTTGCTGATAATATTTATTAAAAATAATTATTTTTTTATTTAAAAAATTATGATAAATTTTAATTATTGAAAATAAAAAAATAT